CTTTTTCTATTAGGGAGAAAAAGTTAGAACCCTGGTATAGCAATCACACACAAACTTTAAAACAGACCACTTGAAAACTTGAACGTAAATGGCGACAAACTAAATCAGTAGTATTTCAAATAGCATGGAAGGAGAGCCTTTTGAGCTATAGGAAAACTCTTAGTGCGGCTAGATCAATGTATCTCTCCACCCTAATTGAAGATAACAGAAATAATGCTAGATTCTTATTTAATACTGTAGCAAAATTAACTAGGAATAAGACCACAATAGAAACACGCACACAATCATTATATAGCAGCAATGGTAAAATTGAAAATATCAGGCAAGAAATTTAAATATCAGACTATTAATTTAAAAACGGACAGTTTTATAACTAACCCTGTAGATGATAATATAATAATATCAGATCAACAATTACAACGTTTTACTCCCCTTGAAGAGACTTAACTAATTTCACTAATTTCATCATCAAAATCAACCTGTATACTAGATCCTTTACCTACTTGTCTCCTCAAACAGATAATTCCTGAAACAATCAAACCTCTTTTAAAGATAATAAATTCTACCCTTAGCATTTGCTATGTACCTAAATCTTTTAAATTAACAGATATCAAGCCCTTGATTAAAAAACCTGACCTTGACCCCTTTCAGCTGTAAGTAAGTAAAAAAAAAGTTTTATTTATAAAGCACATTTAAATTCAGCATTACACTGACCAAAGTGCTGAACAAAACCAATACAACAAATTCTAAAATAGAATAAAAAAAAAAAAAAAACAATAATAATAAAACAATAATATCAACAACAATGACAACAGTACACAATAAGTTAAAAGCCCGGAAAAGCTGTCTAACTATAGACCAATATCAAACCTCCCCTTTATCTCCAAGGTCCTAGAAAAGGTTGAAGCAAAGCAGCTATGCTCATACTTACATAGGAAAAACATTAATGAAATGTATCAGTCAGGATTTTGGCCTCATCATAGCACAGAGACAGCACTGGTAAAAGTTGTAAATGACTTACTACTGGCCTCTGATCAGGGTTGTGTCTCCTTGTTTGTGCTGCTTGACCTTAGTGCAGCTTTCGATGCCATTGATCATGCTATTCTCCTCGATAGACTGGAAAATGTAGTAGGCATTAAGAGAACGGCCCTTTCCTGGCTCAGGTCTTATTTGACTGATCGTTATCAATTTGTAAACGTAAGGTAAAGTTCGGTGTCCCGCAAGGCTCTGTTTTAGGCCCATTGCTCTTTTCTTTATATATGCTACCTCTGGGCAAAATTATCCATAAACATGGTATTAGCTTCCCCTGTTACGCTGATGACACACAGTTGTATGTTTCAGCCAGATGACAGACACCAGCTTAATAAAGTTGAGGAATGTGTAAAAGACATTAGAAACTGGATGCTTATTAACTTTCTCTAACTTAATTCTGACAAGACAGAAGTACTTGTACTAGGAACACATGCAGCTAGAAGTAAGCTTTCTGATTACATAATAAATCTGGATGGCCTTTCTGTTTCATCATGTGCAGCAGTAAAAGACCTTGGTGTGATTATTGACTCTAGTCTTTCTTTTGAAGCTCATGTAGATAATACAACTAGGATTGCTTTCTTTCATCTCAGAAATATTGCTAAAATAAGAAATATATTGTCACTAAACTACACTACACCTCTCTTTCGGCTGCTCCCGTTAGGGGTCGCCACAGCGGATCATTGGTCTGTATATTTGATTTGGCACAATTTTTATGCCGGATGCCCTTCCTGACACACTCCTCCCCAATTTTATCCAGGCTTGGGACCGGCACCAAGAGTGCACTGTTGCACACAACACTCAGGATGGCTGGGGTTGGATCCCTAACTGTGAATCGAACCCAGACCACAGCAGTAAGAGCGCTGTGGCCTAACCACTAGTCCACCAGGGACCCAAATAGAGTGTCACTAAAAGATGCAGAAAAATTAGTTCAGGCTTTTGATACCTCTAGGTTGGATTATTGTAATGCCTTACTGTCTGGATGCTCCAGTAGATGCATAAACAAGCTCCAGTTAGTCCAGAATGCAGCAGAAGAGTCCATACTAGAATCAGAAGATATGACCACATAACCCCTATCTTATCCACACTGCATTGGCTCCCAATCAAATTTCGTATTGATTATAAAATACTAGTATTGACCTATAAAGCACTAAATGGTCTCATGCCACAGTACCTGAGTGAACTTTTGGTCTTTTATGATCCGCCACGCCTACTTAGATCAAAAGGTGCAGGCTATTTGTTGGTACCTCTAATAGTGCATGCTACAGCTGGGGGTAGAGCTTTCTCTTACAAAGCCCCACAGTTATGGAACAGCCTTCCACTTAGTATTCGGGGCTCAGACACCGTCTCATTGTTTAAGTCTAGGCTGAAAATATATTTGTTTAGTCTAGCCTTTCGTGAATAGTTTTTTCTTAGGTACAGGGCCAGGTCTGGAGGGTTCACAGGCATAGAGTGTTGTGGTGAACTGGGATGTTTGGATGCTGTCACACACACACACACACACACACACCCCCCACTCTCATGCGTTCACTCAGGTTTGTCGACGGTGGGGTGGCTGGCTGCCTTATGTCCCAGGGTGCCCTCATGTCTGTGTTAGCTTCTTTCCCTTTTAGTTATGCTGTCATAGCTAGTCTTGTCAGAGTCCCTGCTTGCACTCTGCATACAAACTACATTGTCCTTAACCATTAGAGGACAAAAGCTTACCTAACAATCTCTCCCTCTCTCTCCATCTCTCTCTCTCCCTCACTCTCTGTCGAGCTACACATGCTACTTCTGAGATGCCAGTGATCCTGATGCCCCTTCTGCTCCTCCTCGATGCCTGACCCATCCTGACGCCCCTTCTGCTCCTCCTCGCTGCTTGACCCATCCTGATACCCTATTTCTCGTTGGAGTTTTCATCGGTTGAGTTTGCTCGCTGCTGCTGGGGGTGGCCCCATATGGACGGCCTGAAGAACCATTTGGTTTGCTGGAGATAGTGCGACCTGGGGGCTGTGGAGATGGCTTGGGGATCACATATGGGGAGCTGTACTGTAATGGCTTGGGACTGCGATTGCTGTAGTGGCTTTGGGACTGCAGTTGCCATGAGCACCTTCTTACTCAGGACTCCATCAGTGGACAGTGGATAGATTTTAACCAACCAGACTTCTTGCAAAAACTGTGATGAATTTAATGGTTGCACAATTGCACTATTTGTCCATATAGTACACAATAATAGAAGGGATTTATTTATAATTGCACTATCCGTTGCACCCAGATGAGGATGGGCTCCCTTTGAGCCTGGTTCCTCTCAAGGTTTTGCCACCATCACCTCTGGCTTGCTCATTAGGGATAAATTCACAGGGATAAATTCACATAGTTACAATATATTTTTTGTGAATCCATTTATTTCTGTAAAGCTGATTTGTGACAATGTCCATTGTTAAAAGCGCTATCCAAGTAAAATTGAACTGAATTGAATAGAAGGGCAACAACTTACCAGCAGGACTGGTATCTGCTCCTTCGTGCGAGGAGGAACAGGAGGAGCACTGCCAGAGCCCTACAAAATGACCTTCAGCAGACTACTGGTGTGCATATTTCTGACCAAACTGTCAGAAACAGACTCCATGAGGGTGGCATGAGGGCCTGATATCCTCTAGTAGGACCTGTGCTCACAGCCCAACACCATGCAGCTCGATTGGCATATGCCAGAGAACACCAGAATTGGCGCCGAACACTGGCGCCTTGTTCTCTTCACAGATGAGAGCAGGTTCACACTGAGCATATGTGACAGGTGTGAAAGAGTCTGGAGATGCCATGGGGAACGTTCTGCTGCCTGTGACATCATCCAGCATGACCTGTTTGGCGGTGGGTCAGTGATGGTCTGGGGAGGAATATCCTTGGAGGGTTGCACAGACTTCCACGTGCTAGCCAATGGTACTCTTACTGCTGTTAGGTAAAGGGATGAAATCCTCAGCGACATTGTCAGACCTGCTGCAGTGGGCCCTGGGTTCCTCCTGGTGCCTGACAATGCCCAGCCTCATGTGGCCAGAACGTGAAGGCAGTTTCTGGATGATGAAGGCATTGATGCCACTGATTGACCCTCATGTTCCCCAGACCTGAATCCAGTTGAGAACCTCTGGGACATTATGTATCGGAGCATCCAAAGTGCCATGTAGCACCAGAGACTGTCCAGGAGCTCACTGATGCCCTGGAGGAGATCCCCCAGGACACCATCCGCCATCTCATTAGGAGCATACCCAGACATTGCCAGAAGTGCATACAGCCAAGAGGGGGCCATACACACTACTGACTTACATTATGAGCTTGTTGGATCAGCCTGTAATTTCAATTTTTTTACTTTGATTTTCAGTGTGATTTTGAATCCAGCCCTCAATGTGCTGATGACTTTGGCTTCCATTGACCATTGTGACATCATTTTGTTCTCAACAAATTACACAATGTATATAAGATTATCAACTTGAATATTTTCCAACGAGATCCAATGTGTGATTGAGCAGTGTATATATAATCAGAGTTTCCATTAGCTGGTAAATACTGTTTTTGACCATTAAAAATTCCCAATGTCCAATAAAATCTAAAATTGTCGGGCACCATGTCCAGTAAAAATATTAACATGAAGCAGACATAAGTTAGCCAAAGTATATTTCACACAATTTCACACCTAAATAAGGTCACTGTCTGCGCAAATTTTTTTTCACGTTTCTGCTATAATTTGTACTCTGATTTGCTCGCTGTTATATCCGTGATACTTACGTAGTTTGTATGTGTGCGTGTGTGGTACATAGCTAAAACATTACAAGGCAAGCTAGCATGCAAAAGTGCAATAACCAAATATGTACTATAAAATATTTCCAGACTTTCACAAGTTTTAACAGTTTTTTTTACAATAAAATACCATATTTAGTGGTTTACTTTTAATATCACGGTAAGATGGACCATCCGCTGATATATGACAGCAAATTACTGTGAAATAGTTTTTGTTCTAAATAAAACTGAATTGTGGGATGGTGTGCAACTGAACACCATCTGGACAGACTAGTCTCACATATCTCATAGAATAGGTGGACTGAACTGCTACAGCTCAATTTGCACATTTGTAAATGTTACTGCTTCTTTTTCTTATCAGATAGCTTCATCTCAATTTGCACATTGTTAAATGTGACAGCTGCTATTATTATTGTGTAGTTGCACTCAATTTGCTACAGGCTACTGTATTATTGTTTTGTACATAAGTCAATATTGCACACTCGCACATAGAGATATACTACATATTACTGCTACATGTGAACACATTACTGTTACTACATGTACTGTAATATTGTTTTGCACAAGTCAGTATATTGCATGTTACTATACTATTTTTTTGCTCAAGTCAATATTGCACACTCATACATACAGATGTACATAGTTTATATTTCTATATACATAATCTACATTTCTACTTGCAACATAGCTATACTTTATTATGTTTGTTTGTATGTATGTGTATGTCTGTTTTTATTTTTTACATAGTTTGCATTTGTCTTGGCATTCAATGTGGACAGCAAAGAAAGAATTTCATTGTACAGGGAAACTTGTTTTTCCCCACTGTGCAGATGACAATAAACGCTTTGAATTTGAATTTGAATGGATAACAGTTAAGAAAGAAGGCACCATCTTCAGGCTACTTGTCATTACTAGTAAGTAAATGTAATCCTTCTTCAAAATAATGTTTTATGTTCCAGTGAATATTATTTTAATCTTTTAACCTTAACCGACATTATTATATAATGTTACAGCACAGAAAAGACCATATTCTATTAGTCTGACAGTATGTTCTCTTTGATCCTTAACAGCTCTCTATGTCCACAGTTATCAAGCACTGCTGATGTTACATCTGCTGGGATTAAGGTAAGAGGAAAATAAATTAGTGGCTATAGTTAAAGCAAATGTGGCTTTGTAACCAGTTATTTTAGGGAATATCAAGGTGAGCTGGCTAGCTAGCAAGTCAACATTTCATAGAGTGATTTTAAAATCCCTCTCATTTGGCAAGAAAGCAGACAAAAATGACTTTAAAATTCCTTTTTAGTAATGCAGTTGTCTTTTACAGCACAGTTGTTTTGAACAAATCTTTTAAGTGAACAAATCAAAATTTTGAACGAGTAAGAGAAAGGATAACAATGAATCAGTAAACGAATCTTTTTGGTGAACAAAATCAAAAGAGTCACTGGGTTGAATCGTAATTCCCACCACTACTTGCAAGCTATGCAGCTAACAGTCAGTGCCACACAGAGCGGGATGTTCTGTTATTATATATACCCAAGGTTCCCTCACAGTCACCTGGGTCCACGGGGACGTCAGGGAGGTTCCAGCGGACCAGGTTCAAGTCAACCACCAGGAGAAGGAGTGGCCCCACTTGCTGGGCCTAATCCCCAAACGTCCCATTCCTCTGCTACTAGGGCGAGACTGGCCCGGGTTCACCAATGCCAAGGCTCCAAAGAAGAGAAAGCCCAGGGCGAAGTGGTCATGGGTCCAGCCGGCCTACCTGGCCCAAGACGAAGGAGCCGACCTCAGCAGGTGAGGCCCTCATCCCCACTAGCCCAGTGTCCTCTGTGTTTTCCCAGGTTGCCCGGGAGGGAAACTTCGGCTGGGAACAGAAGGAAGAAGCCAGGCTGAAGAACTGCTAGAGCCAGGTGCAGGTAATTGAAGGCGTCCACCAGCACCCCAAGCAGCAACTTCCAGCCTCCTACTTCCTGGTATGCAGGGGACTCCTCTGCTACAAGACGGAGTGAAGAGGCCAGCCCTGCGAACTGCTCATGGTCCCCTGGAGCCATACCCAGGCCCTCCTGCACCTGGCTCACTCACACTCACTGGGGAGACACCTAGGCCCCTGCAACACCCTGGAAAACCTGA